CCGAGGCTCTTATAACCACTAGGCTGCGGACCTTTTTGCGGTTATTATGAGTTCTTGACAAACTGAAATATACAATGACGATTGTAGCTCGTGATTTGTATCCTCTCCGCACTGGGCACATTCAACTTCGAGGCCTCAACACCATTTCGTTGAACGCTACCAACTGAGCTACACAACATATGTAACTGTATAAATGATGCTATTCTTTTAACTATGCAATTTTGAATCTTTTTGACAATTCAAATGATCTCAAATGAAAAGTTGTTAACTGTAAAGTTATAGATCCCACGCGGCCCCCGCACCCCCTCTGGGCAACGCTTGGGTGGCTGCGGGCGCACCTTGTTGGCACCGCTCAGGCAGCCATGCATGCTGCCGCAAGCCACTGTCGCATGGACCCGCGCCGCGTCGTGTGCCACCGTCGGCGTGGCCGAGCTCCCTTCCCCTCCGCGCGCGAGCAATAGTGCATCTCCTCTATGGCTTCCATGGCCCAGCCATGGAGTGAGGAAGAAGGATGACATGTGGGGTCCACGTGCAAGAGGGCAAAAGGGGCATTTCGAGCTCCGGTTAGCTGTCGTTCCCCCAAAAGTTGACAGTAGCGGCATATAGGGGTCGAAAAAATCGAAGTGATGGTTGAGACGAAGAAATGAACTTTTTCGTAGACTAATGAGGAAGTTGTATTTTTTATAATTGCTCACAGGGAATTGAGTGGAAATTTTCAAATTGGCCTAAATTTTGAAAACAAATTACCGCTATCCCATTATAATAATAAGAAAATAACATTTGTGGCTCCGCCTATGAGGACGACATCTCCACTAGGGATGAAAACGGTCGGAAACGGTCGGAAAACCTCTCAACCTTTTTTACTTCTACATTTGAATACGAAAACAAAAGCGAAAGCGGTAAAGCCGGATACGCAAACGAACACGAACTTATGGAATATCGATAATTTTGAAAACGAACTAATTCGAGCGGAATTACGTCGAATACGGTCGGTATACAAAAAATCAATACGGAATATTAACCCGTAGAACCAACTGCATAACAATTAACAAATGAGTAATAATTAAAATGTCCTACAACTTTCTTAAAAAGTATCTACATTCGACACCATGTAATGAAGATATGATTTTTCTAAGGCAACAGGGGCTTGTACGCAATTAATATACTGCTAAAACTTTGTTTACTTTTTTTAAACATCCTAAAGACCTCAAATTAAAAAACTAAAGACTAGAAAGTTGTAGACCTCGTCGAGAGATATAATTTTCATATAAAAATCATCTTCATCCGAGATCGTATGAAAAAGATACAATTTTTTTCTAAGGCTGAACTTCTAAACAGAATTTCGAAAACGAATTTTGAATTTGGGATATCTCGAATTAAAAGTAGAAAACGGTTGGAAACATGTCTAAACCATTTTCATTTTGATTTTGAATTTAGTGTTCCAAATTTCAAATCAAATTTGAATTTGTCAAAAAATACGAATTTAATCGGATTAAACATAGAAAACAATACGGTTCAGGACGGAGATATTTCCGTACCATTTTTATCTCTAGTCTCCACCTAACCCCCTCCCCACCACCCGTCCTTCTCTACCTTTGCCGCCGTTCCTTTTTTTTCCGCTTAGCACGTGTTTCGTTAAGAAGAAGTTAAAGTGGTATTTGGGACTGCTCCGCTTCATGTTTTTCAGCTCCGCTCTATGTTTTTTAGTCAAACGGGTTATCTCCACGCACTCTGTTTGAGAAAAAAGGATAGAGTTGTGAAAGCACCTGAAGAGATACTCCACAAATTTCAGTTTTTTTAAGAGATACTCCACAAATTTCAATTTTTTTAAGCTACTACACGGTTAAGTTTGTAGAACAGTTTCAAACACTCCTGAGAGTCGTACACGTTCATCGTCGTAAAACGGCGAGATACGATTAAGAATGGGGTTGAATACAAACAAAAAGATACCGCTTGGCGGTGGAAGTACACTGGTTTTACTAGCGAAACTGATTGTGCGATCGAATAGAGCAATGGTACTGATGGAAGATGGGCCGAGCCACCCCTGCGCGCTTTCTTGGCGGGGAAGAGTTCCCGCATTGCCTCATGCTTGCCGCCGCCCCTCATTGCCACCCTCAACGGCACCGCGGTTTCAGCCACAGAGGCGTCAAGTTCGGCGGCCAGTACGGCGAAAGCTGCTGCGGCTCGAGGCCACCATGCCTCGTGAAGCGGCCGAGGCCGCTGCGGGCACGGATCGCTAGCTCGCGCTCCAGCAGCAGCTTGTCGAGGCGCAGGACGAGCCCCTTCCTGTCTCCGTCGCTGCCACCCCCACGAGCCCCTGGCTGTCTCCGTCGAAGCCAGCATGGCACAAGCCGAACGGGAGAGTGAGGTGCCCACCCTAACTAGGCCGACCAGGAGGCACACATCTAGCTTCAGCGACAGCGAGAAACTGCTAATCTTCTACGCCAAGATCACGCACGTGCTTATGCTCAGAAGCTGTTCGACGAAATGCCGCAGCAAACATTCTTCGTGTGGAACACCGAACACCATAATCTCCAATTGCACGGACGGTGCCGTGGTAACGCAGGAGCAAGCGGTGTAGCTTTTCGACGTGATGCAGAGTTGCAGAAAGAGGGGCTGACACTTTGCACTCATCTCCAAGCACAGCCAGCAATGGCGCATCGCTTAGCAAAGTGCCATCACCAAGAACCTACTCTACTTTGCCAAGCAATTTCAGTTTCAGGTATCAACCACATATTTCTCCCATTCTTATTTTTTTTAATCTGTGCTCTAGACTTACATATCCATATGTTTTGCTACTTTGACTGACAAGCATATGTGTCAGGTACTCAGCTCCTGGTCGAATGTTCTTTTTGATGTGTTTAAGATTTAATGAACTTATTAAGGTGTTTGCTAAAATGTCAAAGGCTCAAAGCAAATATGCAAGAATTGAAACAACAAATTGACCTTTGTGCATGATTCACTTCGGCAAAATCCATATGATCTGTACCCTCTTCCAAGTTTATGGTGTTTACTTTTTTCCACATACAGTTTTGATGTAGTTACCAACATCTGATATCTTTGGTGCCTTCAAGCACTAATGCTTCCTTAGAGATTCAACAAAAAAAGAAGAGGACATACATTGAATATACAATCATTAAGTAGCTTTTTCTTTAACTTGGTTATCATGGACCATAAACGTGTGAACTAAGTTGTCCTAGTATTTTAGAAGTTAAATTTTACTACAATTTTTTTTAAAAGAGGTTCTGTTAATTTATCATTCACCTTATCAAAAGTTTAGCCACTGAATTCCAGGATTAGATGGCTTGTGTGTACAGTAAAAATAATATTAGATCATACTGATTTCACATTTTTAATACTGGGGTGGGCGCCGATTTGGCCACCCTCGAACCCTAGCTCATGGCCCGCCGCGGGAATTTGAAGCGGGCGCCGACTGGGACCTCCCTACCCGCCGCCGCTGTGCGACCTTCGGATCCGTGTCGCCCCACCCGGATCGGGACCAGAAAGAGAAGGGGAGCACACGTGCGGCGAGGACCATACTGGCAAGCAGACACTTTAGATAACGTAATTACCAATTCATTTGGATAACACAGTACAGTACAAAGGATATCATGCTGCCATAAGCCTTTTTATATCCATTTCGTCCTAATTGGCTAATTGTAGTATCAAGTTTCCAACTCTATGTTCAAAATTTCTTTGTTCATATTCTCTTGATGAATGATATTTAGGCGATACAAATTCCCTTAGAATCATCAGCTATCACTACATTAGCTACCCGATGCTCATTTTGGTTGGAAAACTACATATTTTTTGTCTGGAGACATGGTTCAAATGGAGCTCTATTCGTGCCACTCCACCTGCTGCCGTGCTCAAACTTGTTTAACTTTCAATTTTTCTCATTAAACCGATGCTTCCTATTATCCTTAATTTCATGAATAAAATGTCCTAAAGAGCGTGACATTCTGTTGTACCCTTTTGAAGTGTACAGAGTAATATATGCATTTCTATTACAAGGAATGCAGCTGCCAGTTGCACACCTGTGTACCATGCCAGTGTGCTACACTATGACAATGATTGCCGTGTCATGTCCTGGCACTATCTTCGTACACTCGCAGACGACTTGATCTGTAATCATAAATCTAGCTATAGAACATATTCAAGTTTGACCTCTACTTACATGAAGCCCTTCTTATCATCCTTTGCTTTACAATATCTTTAAGAAAGACAAAGTTAGCTATATAAGAGATCTATTAGGAGTGACCCCTATTAAAATTCACCAGGATTATTTCGGAAGGTTCACAGATCGAATGATGCTGGTACAAGGTCCATGCAAATTCGATCATTTATGATTTTTCTTAGCTTTTTAGTAGTCAATCTTGCAATTGCTAAAACTGTGTCAACTAAGTAGGAACTACATAAGTGAATATTCAGCTGCCAACATTATTGGCTCGCAATTATTGTTACATATTTTAACACATCGCTACATCAGCATGCACATATTTAATTACTTGTTGCTCCTATATGTCAAAAACTTTAGAGCTCATGTCCTCAAGTCCGGATCGATCTACAAGCCACATCAAAGGAGGACTCAAAATATGTCTTGGCTGCCTGGCTGCTCTGGCATGGGCGTGGCAAAGTGGTGCCTGGTTTTCTAGTAACATATTGCATTTTCATTAACAAAAAAAATGCAGATATTGTTGGTTAAAGTTAAAAAGGTAAAATACATCAGTCTCTTTACTGACAGCACACCTTTATTTGATGCTCTGCTCAATTTGGTGATTTGGGTTTCAGCATTCACGAGGTTGGGGATCTGATACCTTATTTGAAGGAGTTGCTTTTATCCTCTGATAGCTTGCAGGGAAGGGCGACCAAGCAGCTGCTCCAGACCAGAAACATTACTCTTTATTGATTCTTGTTGCCTGCTGCCATCCAAATTTGGGCATAGATTTCAGAAAATGCCAGTAGTCTGATTGAGCGGAGAACAGAAGCAACAAACGAGAATGGCACAGGCAGCCACGGGGGCTGCGGCGGCACCAGCACCAGCACCAGCAACAGCAACAGATCCAAGGAGAACAATACTCGAAGTTGAAGTCTTCGTGGCAGGAGCAGCCACCCTGCTGGTTTTGCAGCTTGTCTTTGGGCTGTGCAGGCGGCGGTCAAGCAGCATATGGATCCAAGGAGCTGTGTGGCTGGCTTACACACTCTCCTTCCCTCTCGTCACCTACACATTCGGCCTGATGCAGTCGTCTCCGGCGAAGAGCCAGCTGTACCCTGTGTGGGCAATGTCCTTGTTCCTAGTCGCCAGGTGCAGCAACTCCGTCACGGCCTACGATCTTGACGAGAACAAGCACTGGAAGAAGCAACTCTTCGAGCTGGGCCAGCAGTACGTCTACTCTGGCCTCATCTTCCTGCTGCTGTATCCTAGGCTCCTAGCCACCTGTCTGTCAGTGAGTTCATGTGGACTCCCCAAATTCTGGATCCTATTCTAGAGTTCTGCTACTTCCTGCTCACCATCATCACCCTCACTAATCTGTTCAGAGTCATTGCCTGCTGGATGGCAACCTTCTCTGATCCCAGCAAAGTAGTCGCTGACTACATGAGGGATCTGGTCAGCTCGGGAGGCGCTCATCAGCCACTGCAGAGGTCTGAGGGCAACTCTGAGTCTGACCCTATCAGGATGCAAGGCGGCAGGTACCTTGTTCGGTTGTATGGTTACTTCCTCAACACTCATGGTGCCAAAGCCCACAGTTACAGGACTAAGCTAGCCAATGAGGATATTGTTACCGTCGACATGATCTGGGAGAACTGCAGTGATAGGCTGTTCAACGATCCAAGCGGTGGCTTGCAGTCAAAAGATGTGTGCCTTTCATTTGCCTTGTTTCACCTGCTGAAGCGCTGCTACTTCGGGATCAACTGCTACGAGGCCGGTCGCCAGGAAACACGTGATTTTATACTCAGGGGTCTCCTGGCGTCAGAGGATGGCAAAAGAGCATTCCGGATCATCGAGGTAGAGCTGGCCTTCCTCTACGATTTCTTCTTCACCAAGTATGCATCCATCTACAAGAACGAGATTTTCTTCTTTGTCATGTTCATCTTGAAGACCGTATTCATTGTCATCCTCGGAGTATTTGTGCACCGGAACTTCCTAAGTCTCAAGACACAAAGCCCTATCATTCCAGTTAAAACTGCAGAAGCTGATACATTGATCACACTTGCAATCCTGGGGGCACTATTTGTTGTGGAGATACCGCAAACCATGCTCTATCTGGTATCAGACTGGGCCTTGGTATCCCTGGCATGCTATTATGTGAGGAAAGGACCACGCAGAGGCTTCATGTACTCTCTTCTTAGTAAGTTTATCCATGTCCTTAGAAGAAACCCAAGCTTATTCAAGTATTGGCAGAACAAGATAGGCCAGTACTCGGTAATTGAAGGCAGCCGTTGGTATAAAGCTTTTCATGTTCATTGTTGCCAAAATTCTGATGGTAGTCAATGAAACTACATGGAAGATTTGGACATGCTGGTACTGCCATAGCATTGTGCACGAAGTGAGGCTGCCAGATGCCGTGAAGCGTGAGATTGCTTCATCCCTCAAGTCCACTGCTGCTGAGGGTGTTCATCTAACCAACGGAGAAGCATCGCTGCGGCGTTATGGAGTGTTCATTAGCCAGTTTAAGGACACACTGAAAAGGGAGGACTGGGACCTGACAGACACCATGCTGATATGGCACATCGCGACCAACTACCGTGAGATTGTGGAGACGAGTCAGGACTACTCTGGCCACGATAATGAAAAACTCAAGCAGTACCGTGAGGTTGCCACCAGCTTATCCAGGTACTCTGCATACCTGATGGCCTCTGTCCCGGGACTGCTCCCCGGCAACCCTGCAGATACCAGCTTCACATTTGACAAGGTGATGCAAGAAGCGACAGTGGCGCTGTACCGGGATCAGGAGGATGATGTTCGCGAGCGCGCAAGAGCAGACAGACATGCCCTGGAGAAGGCTTTGACAGAGCTCTCAGAATCATCAGACCAGGAGAATGAAAATAATGGCACCATCTTCTTCAAAGGGTTGAAGCTTGGGAAGGAGCTGGAGGAGTGCATACGAGACGGAGAGCTCCGTTGGAAGGTGTTGGCCGAGTTCTGGGCAGAGATTATCCTCTACGTCGCACCATCTGACAATGTCAGAGGGCACGTCGAGAAGCTCGCTAATGGCGGAGAGTTCATAACCCACATTTGGGCTCTCCTCTCTCATGCCGGCATCCTGACCCGGCATCCCAGGCAACAGGAATCATCTCACACATGACACATTGACTAATTAACGGCCAGTTGAAGCTGCTTTCTTCATGCTAAGTAGAAGAGTGTCATTAAGACACCCCCTCAGTTTGACTAGGTGTTTCTGTGTTCAATGTTGTGTGGTGTGTGTGTGCGCTTGCAGTTTGATATCGCCGCAGCAGCAGGGCAGTGTATCTTCTCAGTACTAATACCTCGTTCAGTTATTTGCTTTTGATTCTTCACCTGGCCTTTTCAGAAAAGTAAGAGTGATGTTTTACTCTATCTGTCCAAATAAACCGTAGAACTATTATTTACATAATGAGTTGCTAATGTCATATCTGTTACTCATGCCGTCCTATCATACTCTTGTTCGCCATGTTGTGCTCACATTTGTTTCCACTTGCGCATAACTGCAAATTTTCCCATTGACATTCTCTATGGTTTTCTTGTTTTTGTTACATGAAAATTTTAGGTGTATAACTCATCGAGTTCTACAATATTATTGTTATATATTAGTTCTATATAAATTTGATTTTTTTATTTTTTTCTGTATCTTCTAACAGAGACTGAGAAACATCACAACTTGACCTACATAATCAATATGGTAGTTTAAAAATCTATGGTGCATTTCACTCTTTGATAAAAGATATAGGATATGACATGTAGTTTGAAGGGACGTGACCCACAATATTTGAAGTTTTACCAAAGTTAAGGGCTATGACTGACAGAACAATGATGGGTCAAATAGTTAAGGGCTATGGCGGACACATCAATGATGGTCTTATTTGTGCTACTGTCATTTGAAGCTCACTCAGAGCACAATATCCATCATAAACCATCATTATGATTCATTTCTAAACAACCTGGTGTCTGAAATGCCACATCAGATATGGTTACACTCAACGGCCCGCTGTTAATCCACCAATCGTCAGTGTGTGTCTACACTATGAAGCGCCCAACAGACAAACACATACGGTGGCGGCGTGGCGCTGGTCATTCCACTTCGATTCATGAATAGGATGAACTGGGATGTGCGGCTAATACTTCTATACGTAATAATCCAACTGACATCCGCTCACAGGTGACCAATTCATCACATTCACATGTGAAGCAAAATAAAAGTAAACCATATACTTTATCCAGTATCTACTTGATCATCATCCCTCTTTTTCAATGATGGCAATATTGTCCATCCGGATCCAAAAATTATCTTACAACATGTCTGTCGTGTAAGCATGATGTGCGTCACAGGCCACACCTAGCACATCATTCAAACGATGGATTAATTCACTGTACAATGACGAGTTGCATCTCAAGATAACCTCCTGAAATAACTTTAGTCTCCTAAATTCAGCTACTTCTACTAAACACTGGCCCGAGCCTTGCATCTCACCAAATCTTCCTGTGAATCGTATTAGTTAGATTAGACTATAAGGGTGTTAAGTAATCTGCTGCTCCCTTGTGTGAATGCGCAGCAGAGGAAGACGGCGCTGAAAAGGCTCCCTGCTGTGACACTGTAGCCGCTGTAGGGGCAGGCGTCGAACGACTCTCCTGCCGCACTGTAGCCACAGCAGAGGCAGGTGCCAAAGTCGGCCATGCTGTCACATCTAGTCACTGTAGCAGCATGGCAGCCTGACATGTCTGTGTACTAGGATTAGATGGGTAGAGTTGTATATATAGTTTGCCACTGTAACTCAGTAAAAAGAGCGAGTTCAGTTTGCCATCTCCTCAGCAGAGCTTTGGCCAACGCTGGTGCTTGTGCTGTGTGTGTGCTATGTTCTCCCTTCCTTCTTCTACCTCTGGCCATAGTGTGTGGTCGGCAATGACAGTGCGTGGTCGGCAGCCCTGATGAGTGGTCGACTCACCTGTGTCGGCGATCTAGTGGGTTAACAAGTGGTATCAAAGCCGTACAAACGCCATCGTCGGACTAACCGCTGTCGATGACGCACGGTTTGGAGATAGGCGACAGCAGCGGTGCTGTTGTGGCTGCCCAGCCACGACAGGAGGTCGTTGTGCGCACGGTGCGGGAGGTCTGCGACATCAGTTGGCCGACGCTGACTCGCACCAACTATGGCGAGTGGTCGGTGACCTGAAGGTCAAGCTCAGAGCCCGACGGCTTTGGAATGCTGTTGACAAGGGCACCGACAACGAAGAAGACGACATGTCAGCGTTGGAGGCTATCCTCGCTGCTGTACCGGTGGAGTACAGGGAGCCGTTGGGGGCGAAGAGCTATGCTAAGGAGGCGTGGGAGGCCATTGCGGCGATGCGCGTCGGTTTCGACCGCGCAAAGAAAGCAACGACCCAGATTCTAAAGCAGGAGTATGCCAACCTCAAGTTCAAGGATGGTGAATCGGTGGAGGACTTATCCCTCCACCTGCAGATGCTCATCAGCAAGCTGAAGAACCACGGTGTCACCATCGACGAAGAAGAGGTGGTCTCCAAGTACCTTCACTCCGTGCCGATGAAGTACATCCAGATCGCTCTTTCCAAAGAGACGATTCTGGACTTGTCCACCCTCACCATTGAGGATGTCATAGGCCGTCTGCGGGCGGTGGACGAGCACATGGAGCAGGCGACAACGACGAAGGAAAGCGGCAAGCTACTGCTGATAGAGGAGGAGTGGGCTGCCAGGAGGAACTCCGGGGAAGCCTCCTCCAGCCGCGGTGGCGATGGCAAACACCGCGGCAAGGCTTCTTCGGAGAAGAAGAAGAAGAAGGTCAACCCCAACGCCTGTCGGCGCTGCGGGAAGACGGGCCACTGGGCAAGGGAGTGCCCAAATCGCAAGTAGGAGAAGAAGGCTAAAGCTCATCTGGCGCAGGCTGATGATGATGATGAGGCCACTATCCTAATGGTGACGTTCTATGCACTGCACGACGTTGAGGCCAAGGAGAAGGGAGAGGTGACGACGGTGGCCGAGCATGGCAAGGCTCTGAAGGTTGTCCACCTCGACGAACCGCGCGCCTAAGTCCACCTCAGACGTGTGGGCGGCGAGTAGGAGTCCGGCGCCAGCAACCACATGATGGGCTCCAAGGAAGCCTTGTCCGAGCTCGACGGTGACGTGACCGGCATGATGAAGTTCGGTGATGGCTCACGGGTGGCGACCCGAGGGCGCGGCACCATCATCTTCAGGTGCCAGAACGGCGAGCACCGCGCGCTAACGGATGTATATTACATCCTGTAGCTGCGTTCAAGCATCATCAGCATTGGCCAGTTGGATGAGCGTGGTAGCGAGGTACTGATCAAGGACGGAGTCCTTAGGATCAGGGACCGGGAGCAACGCCTTCTTCCCAAGGTGAAGAGGTCCTGGAACCGGCTGTACCTGCTCGACTTGAAGGTGGAGCAGCCGGTGTGCCTGGCAGCACGGCATACCGAGGAGCCGTGGCTGTGGCATGCCCGGTTCGGCCATCTCAGCTTCGACGCGCTCGGTCGGCTAGAGAAGATGGTCCGAGGGCTGCACCACATCAAGCACGGAGGCGAGCTGTGTGACAGCTGCCTGGCCGAGAAGTAGAGGAGGCTGCCGTTCCCAAAGGCGGCCAAGTATCGCGCGGTGGACGCTCTCGAGCTCGTCCACGGCGATCTCTGCGGTCCAATCATGCCAGCCACAAATGGTGGTCGGCGGTACTTCCTCCTGCTCGTGGATGATTGCAGTTGCTATATGTGGCTGCAACTCCTGACGAGCAAGGACGAAGTGGTGGCGGCAATCAAGAAGTTCAAGGCATGCGCGGAAGCGGAGAGCAGCAAGAAGCTGCGCGTGCTCAGGACTGATCGCGGCGATGAATTCACTTCGGTGGAGTTCGCTGCCTACTGCGTGGATCAGGGTGTGGTGCAACACCACACCGCGCCGTATTCACCACAGCAGAATGGCGTGGTGGAGCGGCGGAACCAGACGGTGGTCGGCATGGCTCGATCCATGATAAAGGTCAAGAGCATGCCGACAAGGTTCTAGGGTGAGGCGGTGACCACGGCGGTGTTCATCCTCAACCGCGCACCCACCAAGGCCCTAAAGGGTAAGACGCCATTTGAGGCTTGGCATGGACGCAAGCCGAGCGTGTCCTTCCTCCAGACATTCGGCTGCATCGGCCACGTCAGGAAGACGAAGCCAGTCCTCACCAAGCTAGAGGACAGGAGCACACCGATGGTGTTCCTAGGCTACGTGGAAGGTACCATGGCGTACTGGCTCTATGACCCACATGGAGACAAGGTGCTTGTCTCGCGCGATGTCGTGTTCGACGAAAAGGTGGCCTGGGACTGGAACAGTCCAGGCACAGGGGAAGCTAGCGGCTTCACCAGCACCTTCGTCGTCGAGCACTTGGTCATCCACGGTGGTGGAGATGCTGGAGAGGAGGTGCCAACCACTCCAGCAACAGAGCCGAGCACTCCTGGGGTGGTGTCGAGCACTCCGGGAGGGGTGTCGAGAACTCCAGGAGAGGTGCCGAGCACTCTAGGAGTGATGCCGAGAGCTCCCGCAGTGGTGTCGATCACTCCAGGACGGGTGCCGAACACTCCCGTAGCAGAGCCGCGAGGTCTTGCAATGGTGCCGAGCACTACAAGACTAGGGCTGAGCACTCCTGCAGTGGTGCAGACCACTCCAGGAGTGGTGACGAGCGATCTAGGAGTAGTGCCGAGCACTGCAACCGGTGTGCCGAGCACTCCAGGTGCTACGTCGACCACTCCAGCGGAATAGGGAACTCCATTGACGCCGATTGAGTTCGCCTCACCTCCAAGCGATATCACTGAGTTCGTGGATGCGTTCCACGACGGTGAGGAGGTGCGGTTCCGCAGGTTGGACGACATTGTTGGCGGCACAGGGCCCTCAGGCCTGGCGGGTAGGCTACTCAATGACCCAGAGCTTCTTCTCGTCAGTGCAGAGGAACCACCCACGTTCGCGCTAGCCGAGCGCGATGGAAATTGGTGACGGGCGATGCTGGAGGAGATGAAGGCGATCGAGGAAAATGAGACTTTGGAGCTCGTCGATCCACCTCTAGTATGCCATCCGATCGGCCTAAAGTGGGTGTACAAGGTCAAGCGGGA